CAGCCCTCAAATCCCTTGCAGATCTCAAGTTTTGAGATTTTCTTTGTTTTTGACATTTTTCAGATGACATGGTGTTGGAAATAGATTAACATGTGACATATGAAAATGAATGAGATATGTATGATAACATTTATCTTTTACAGCTGACTCTTACAGTTGATAACTAATTCATTATTTCTTTTCTTTTCTTACACTTTTTCTTTATCTGCTAGTCACTACTCTTACACAACCTCTATATAATACAGCATTCAGTGACTAGATTCAGCAGCTTTCATCTTTTATGATTCTGTCTTGTGCATTATACTGTCTCTCTTCACTCACTCAGACTACTACAGTGAATAATTCATCAAAACTAATCTCACTCAATCTCTGAGCATTTTCAGAGGTTGAGATGACTTGATCTCACACATCTGCAGATGTTTCAGATAGTTTGTTCTCTGTAATCTTCACAATTGAACTGACATAAACAGTCAAATCTAACTCTGAATTCCTTTTTCTTCTGTGACCTGACTCACATGCAAGTCTGTCACTTTAAAACTGCTTTTTACTGTGTTACACCTGCTATCTGCAGCACATTATTGTATGATCAGCTACAGTCTCATCACTTATTGAAGTGTGATATTTACCTGATTTCTCCATTTCTTTCCATTCTTTTCTTATAATCATGAAAAGATTGAAATAAGTGAGATTATCTGATTTGTAAGTGTCTATGATTTCTCTTACTTCATGAGACTTTTTAATTGTAAGTCTCTTCTTTTTCAATGCTGATGATAGTGCTGTGAATAATCATAATTCACTCAGGTCTTACATTCTTGCTTTCACAAGTCATGAATCATTGATTAAGTTGTGTAAGACTCATCTCTCTGATTCTTTCAATGTGTACATTCTCAGAGAATGTGATTTGAGTATTTTATATGACTCAAACCACCTAGGTTGAAACTTCTCAGAACTCTCATTACATACAAGAACTCACATTCTCATCTTGAGACTCAATTCCTTAACAAGTGAGTCTTGTATTCTTTTCAATTGAATTGCTTGATTCAGAAGTAACTTGTTAGCTTTTGCACATGCATGACTGATCTCTTTCAATCTTGATTCTGTGTCTGCAACTGTTGCATCTGTAACTGCTGCATCTGTAACTGCTGTTTCCTCTCTCACCTTTTTCAAAGCATTCTTCAGAATGCGCGGATGCAATTCATACAACAGGTAGAATGATGAACACTTGATGACTGCATGCTGCTGGATTCGCATGGCTAATAGCACCTGCCTGAGATATTCATCTCATAATCTCATAGACTTGCTCACTAGATATTTCATCAGCATGTTGCTCAAGATTTCATTCAAGTGTTTCATCTTTTCATTCATCTGTGAGTGATATGATGTTGTTCTACAATATCTTATCTATAACTGGCTCATGAAATGCCTCACTGCTTCTTCTATGAGATTCACACTGTTATCAGTTAGAATCTCACATGACATTTCATAGTTGATATAGATCTCATCATATAGAAACTTTGTCATCATCTTCTCTGTCATCTCTGAAACTGCTTTTGCAACTGACCAGCCAGTAGTGTAGTCAATAGCAGTGATTATTCATTAATTTCCATTTGATGTTCACAGTAATATGTCTATGAGGTTCATCTCTCATTGTTTGAATGATTGTATTGTACACTTCATCTGATGTTGTGCTTCTTCACATTCTAACTCTTTCTTAGATTCTTTTGTGACCTGGCAATTCGGGCACTTGTGAGTGTATATCTGAATGTCCTCAGCCATGCTTGGCCAGTACACTCTTGATTTGAGTATGCTCATGAGTTCAGAGCTTTCTAAATGACTGAATTCTTTGTGCATGTGAGTTACTAAGTTGCATTGAAATGAAGGTTCTAGATAGAAAGCTTCTATGTATTCTAGATTGTGATAAAGCACAACATCATTTTCCAATTTTCCCAGCTTGAAGTTTGAAAGCATCTCTTCTACTACTTTCGCGAGACACTTGTCATTCAACACCTTGTCATTCTCCAAGTAAGAGATTATGACATTCACTCATTCTGATTTCTTGCATCTTCTCAGTGCATTTAATGCAAACATTTCTTATACCTGGTTCACAGGACTCTCACTCATGAAATCAGGTCTGCAACTGATTGCATCTGGCATCACTGTATTCAATTCTTTTCAGTATTTGATATGAAGATTGTACACTTGAAACTCTGAGATTCAATATGCTAAGTGTTTGAAAGGTTTTGTCATTGATTATAGGTAGATGAGGCTTTCATGATCCATGATCACTGTTGTTGTATGCCTGTTATTAATATATCTATTTCATAACATCAGTGCATGCTTGATTGCTAGCAATTTCTTTTCATGCACTGAGTAATTAAGCTCAGCATCTGATAGTTTTCTATCATCATACATCATTAAGTGCAGCTTGCTGTTCTTGCTCATCTGTAGAAGAGCATCTCTGATAACTCATTCAGATGTATTCATTTCAATGTAGAAAGATTTAACATGATCTGATTGAATAAGCACTGAGAATGTTATTACATGTTTCCTCAGTGTGAGAAAAGCCTCTTCGCACATGACATTTCAGATAATTGAATGAAACTTCTTCTTTTGCAGATTTGCATTCATTTCTCTTAAGAGATCTGAGAGTGGTGCAGATATTCATGTGAAATTCTTGATGAACCTGCAGTAATATGAGGTCAATTCAAGAAACTGTTGTACATGATGTACATTTCTTGGCTGCAGTCAATTCACTATGACATTCAATTTCTTCAAGATGAGGTGTATACAGTCATCACTCACTACATATCTCACAAACTCTAACTCTTTCATTTCAAACACACACTTGATTGATTTAATGTAGAGCTTATACTCTGTCAGAGTTATAAGCACTTCATTGAGATGCTTCAGATGTTTGTTGTATGAGTTTGAAAAGACTAGAATGTCATTGAGATATACAAGATATGAGGTTTCATTCTGTTTATGAAGAATTGTATTTATCATTGTTTGAAAGATGATGAATACATTTATCAGACTGAATGATATTGCTAGGAATTCAAACTTCTCTCATTGTATATTAAACACAGTTTGCAGGACTGACAGTTTATCTACACAGATCTGCCAGTATTCTGAGAGAAGATCAATCTTTGATAGATATCAGGTGTTTCTGACTGTATTCAACTGTTGTTGAATCTGTGGCAGTGAATATTCATTCTTGATTGTAAGCTTGTTGAGTGCTTGATAATTGATACACATTCATCACTCTTCATCTGTCTTTTTCACAAATAGAACTGGAAAGCCTCATGTACTTGATGAGAATTGTATGAGATCATGTTCTAGAAGGTCAGTGATCTGATGCTTCTGTTCTTCAAGATATGTTTGTGACAGAGGGTATATGTTCTGATTGACTGGTTTTGCATCTCTCATGTCAATCTCATGTACAAATCCTTGTTCCAGTGACAATTCTGATGAAAGATCTGTTTGAAAGACCTTTCTATGCTTCTTCAGAAGCTTCTTCATACACTTATCCTCCTGTATATTCTTTATCTTGGTTTTCTTCACTTCTGAGTTCTGTATGATATACAGAATGCTTTCAGATAAGGTCTTGTAAATCATTCTCTTTGCTTGTTAATGTGTAAGCAGATTTAATTCTTTTATATCAGAGATGTGAAATGTCCTTCTTATATCAGTTAATAGGATCATATGAACCATTTTCTTTCTATCAGTCAACTGCATATAGTATGTACATCATTGAATCTGCAGATTGAACCTTTGAAACCAATCAAGTCTGAGAATAAGATTGTATTTCATGTTCTGCAGCTCTCACACTCAAATATAGCAAGATCATTCTCTGAAGTGCAAGGAAACTCTTACTCTTGCAGATGATATCAAATATCAGTTATCAGATAATCTTATGCATCAGGGATTCTTCACTCAGCAGACCTCTTTCAATCTTCAGATTATATAATCATCAATATATTGTGTAGAAGCTTCTGTGTCTGCTAACACTTTTGCAGCCATCTCTCAATTCTTACTCAAGTGTCCTCTATACATTAATATTTCAGGTCTCAAGGCATTGAGATGAGCATTCACTTCATCATCCTCATCTGCATCTCATTCAGAAGCCTGCTTCTTCTTTGCATTTGCAGGATTCAGAGAGTCATCTAATACAGGCATCTCTTTCACTTTGAAGACTTTTCATAGAATATCAGTGAGTGCCTTCAAGCTCACTGATTCTGCTAGTTTTTTGACTCTCTTGCTTCTCTTGACTGTGCATGCTGAGTGCAATCTTTTGCATCATGATTTTAGCATTCACAGTTGAAGCAAGCTCAATGCTCATAACATCAAGATTTTCACCCAGAGAATTTCTTTTTCAGAGGATTCAGTGCTTTAGTGATGGCATTCAGATCTAGATTCATCATATTCAGGTGTGTGACTTGTGTTGTAGAAGTCTGATTATCTGTTCTCTGCTAAGACATACTTGATTGCAGTATTTTCTGTTGCAATTGACTCACTTGTTCTCATACAATGAGGATATTGTATGCTTTCTTCACTGTGTCTGACTGTGAGATTAAGCATTTTCATTTCACTCTCAACTCAGGTGTAAGATCATGGATGAAGATCTGTAAATAGAAAGATGTTGAAAGCTCTTCATTCAATGTGAGATAGTATAAGCTGAAGTGTGTGAAGTATAATATAAGATTACTCACTTGTCTACACTCAGTGAAGTATTTATAATGCTTGTCTCATGTATTCACTTTCTCAAAGTTATGCAAGATTCACTTGAAAAACTCATTCCATGTTTGTGAGAATGAATATTGCTTCAGATCTGCAAGATTCATCTTTTCATCAGTCATTCATAATGACTTCACTTTTCTGTATAGAAATGCAGCAGATCTTAAGACTTGTTAGAATTCTGTTGACTGTCTGTCTGTGAGTTCACATTCAATCTGATAATATGATTGCATCTGACTTAGCCAGCTGATTGCAGCATCATTTTTTCAGTCATCATTGAAGCTTGATAGCTCTGACAGATCTTCTGACTTGATATATTTCATGCTTGAATTCTCATCCTGTGCAGCAGTCTCTGATGATGTGTACACTTCTGAAGAGGTTGTGAACAATTGTGATAAGATCTTCAGGTTCAGCATAGTTATCTGTCTGTGTAAACATTTGATCTCCTGCTGCAGGTCTAAGATCTGGTTTTCTCTATTCTTATTGATGATGATGATTGCATTGGTGAAGCTCTTCATAGTGAATGCTTGGTCTGCAGCAAATGTCAATTGTTATTTAATCTCTGTCTCAGCCTGTCACTGCATATGCAAGGCCTCAATCTCATTTAGAATCCTTGTACATGTATGAAGCTTTGATTTCAGTTTGACAGTCTCAGCTGCTTTTCTTACTGCTTTGAGTAAACTCTCTGAGAGGTTCTGCATATCTTTCAGTTCAGATAGTAGAGAAGAGTGTTGTTTGTATCAGCTAGAGAAGATATTCATTTCAGTAGTTTCTCATTGATTGTACAATGTCTATCATTATCACTGTATTGTTATATCACTATATTGTTATATTACTATATCACTCTGTTATCATTGTACAACTTCAGTGATGGCCATTCCTCTCTTTTATCCCTTTGAGTGAAGAGTGATCTTCTTTGAATCTGGTTTATCACTCTCATCTCTTTTCTCACACCTCATCTGTTCACATATGTGACATTCACCTGAATGTGAAGTTTTCTCTCAACAAGTGAAGCAGTATCAATCAGATGCTCTTCTGCTCACTGCTCTTTGTATGCTATCTTTTGAGATGTTCTAGAACCACACTGGCATGATAACTACAAATCACTTTGTAGACAGAATTATCATGTCCTGGAGAAGTCTGCACTTCTCACTGGTTTTTAAACATGCTACCAGATGTGATTCAAAGGTTGCTTAAGCCAGTGTACAATTACAGGCGTACGCCGGCTTCTTATATTGTAATCTCGTACGCTAAATTAATTAGTGTATGCTATGGCCCCTTTACACGTGTATGCTAGTAGTTCGGAAGCGGCCGCGTTATTATCCGACGGTCGTACGTTCTTCCGAACCACATATGTATAAAACATCTGATTTTTTTCACACTAGTTCAGTAACTAGGTTAGATTTTTGAAGAGAATCTAATAAACTAAAATTGATTTTTAAGATAAATCAATAAAATCTTTACAATCTCTTTCTTGGGATACAGTGAGGAAAAGTATGATATCAATTGATAATAAATCAGATGATATAACAGTTTTTAAGAGAAAAACTGGTAAAAAATAAATCAATTTTTTGCAGAGAAATTGATTAAAACTATTCAATTTTATTCTAAATCATTCAATTCTCCTCACACAACAAGTGTGCAACTCAAATCAGTTAATAAAGAGTGTAAAAAAGAATTAAGTATTAATGAAAGCTCTTCAGTCACTGAAAAAGTAATTCTTACTTAAAAGAATATGAAATTATGACAGAAAACAACTCTGTTTTTAATTCTTTGTAAGAATATTGTGTAAAACTCAGAGAAAAACACCTTACTTTTTCAAGAGAAGTAAAAAACTATTTCTAAGATCTTTTTTTTTTTGCATTAACTGCTGCAGAAGAATGAGATAGAAACTGCTAAGATATGCACTACTGTATACTCTCTATCAAGACTTTCCCTCTTCAGAGTCTTGATATTATAGAGAATATAAGTCTGTTTCTATATGATAATATAAATATTGTCAGCGGGATGTAGAGGAACTGGTTATTTATATCTCAAAATAGAAGACTTTGTCAATGATTATATTAATATAGAGTTAATTCTCAAATTCAATAGAAACCTAGTGTTGCTGTTCTCAATCCCTTGCAGAATCTATTGAATATTGAGGTATTAAAACTAGATTTAATATATCTCACTGTGCAGGGATCAAAGGCTCAGTCAGACCTTGAGGTATACTGATTTTATAGTTGTTGTGTCTGCTGATTATGTATTGAGCACAGTTGCTGAGGTATCTTTTTGTACTTTTCTGTCGGGGATGGGCCAGATTGAGAGGGGTGGTACGAGGGTGAGACTCGGCGTTGATGTCTAGATACACTGAAGACAGACTGCGGAGGGTTGCACTTCAGAAGTGGCTGTTGGTTATGTGCTTGATATTATTGCTGAGGTATCTTTTTGTATTTTTCTGCCGGGGATGGGCCAGATTAGGAAGGGCGGTACGAGGGTGGGACTTGGTGTTGGTGTTTTGAAACATCAAAGATGGACAGGGTTTTCGCGGAGGTCGCTTCTCAGATATCTCCACAACTACAGATCGGGGATCTTCCAAAATCAAGAAGATTGATGCATATGGCTAGGTCTCTTCACCTTACAATTTGTATGGCAATTTGGCCCGGGGTTGTGGTGTGGTAGGGGAGAATGGGGGATAATCCCACGCAGGAGTTCTGAACGACGTCTGGTTCACGTTTGGCTGGATAACTCCACCACCACACGGGGTATGCGGTCGGCGATGGGGTCAAAATGCTCGTATGATCGAGGGCTTTTCGATGGATCTATCGGCGGGTTCTTATTCGAAAAATCGAGCGAGTTCGTGGTGGAGCGGTTTTGATGAGTGAGAAGTGATAAATATGTATTAATGATCAAGTACTTAATAAGATTATAATTAAGAATGAATATTCACTGTCATGAATTCAACAACAGTTGAATATAGTTGAAAATATCTGATATCTATCAAAGATCAATCTTCTCTTAGAATACTGATAAATCTGTGTAGATGATCTATCAGTACTGTGAACTGTATTTAATATATAATAAAGAAAGTTCAAATTTCTGATAATATCAGTTAATCTGATAAATGTGTCTATCATCTTTCAAATAATGATGAATATGATTCTTTATAAATAGAATAGAATCTCATGTTTTATATACATGAATAACATTCTAGTCTTCTCAAACTTATATAATGAATATCTGAAGCATCTCAATGAAGTGCTTACAACTCTGACAGAGTATAAGCTCTATATCAAATTAACAAAGTATATGTTTGAAATGAAAGAGTTGAAGTTTGTAGAATATATAGTGAGTGATAACTGTATACATCTTATCTTAGAGAAATTGAATGCTATAGTAAATTAACTGTAGCTGAGAAATATATATTATATATAACAGTTTCTTGAGTTAATCTCATATTACTGCAGATTCATCAAAGATTTTATATAAATAGCTATATCACTCTCAGATCTCTTAAGAGAAATAAATGCTAATGTGTAGAAGAAGAAGTTTTATTCAATCATCTGAAATACTATGTATGAAGAGGCTTTTCTCATACTGAAAAAATGTATAATAATATTCTCAGTACTTATTCAATCAGATTGTGATAAATCATTCTACATTGAGATAAATGTATTTGAATGAGCTATCAAAGACACTCTTCTACAGATGACTAAGAACAGCAAGCTGCACTCAGTAATATATAATGATAGAAAACTATCAGACACTGAGCTTAATTACTCAGTATATAAAAGGAAATTACTAGTAATCAAGCATAAGCATATACTAACATTGTGAAATAGATATATTAATAATAAGTATATAATAACAGTGATCACAGATTATAAAAGCCTTATCTATCTATAATTAATAATAAAACCTTTTAAATACTTAGTATATTAAATCTCAGAGTTCTAAGTATACAATCTTTATATTAAATATTGAAAGAAATCAGATGCTGTGATATCTAACATAATTAGTTACAGACCTGATTTTATAAGTAAGAGTTCTATGAATCAGATATAAGAGAAGTTCATATTAAACACACTGAGAGAATGTAAGAAATCAGAATGAATAAATCTAATGATCTCTTACTTAAAGAATAACAAGATATCAGATAATAAATATTTTATAAAAGTAGTAGAAGAGATACTTCTGAACTTCAAGCTGAGAAAATTGAAAAATAATATTATACTTTATTATAATCTAGAATACACAGAGACTCTCTATCTAGAATATTTACTTAGACATGACTTAATAACTCACATGCATAAGAAATTCAGTCACTTAGAAAGCGCTGAACTCATGAGTATACTTGAATCAAGAGTGTACTGATTAAGCATGACTGAGAATATTCAGATATATGCTTATAAGTGTTTGAATTATCAGATTGTGAAAGAATCTAAGAAAGAGTTAAAACATGAGAAAGTATAATATCAGATGAAATGTATAATATAACTGTTTAAATAATGAAGAGTGAATCTCATAGATATACTGCTATAAATATTAAATGAAAATTATTGAATAATAACTGCTATTAACTACATCACTGACTGACCAGTTGTAAAGATAGTTTCAGAGATAATAGAGAAGATAATAATGAAGATTCTATATAACAAGATCTATATCAACTATGAAATATCACATAAGATTCTAACTGATAATAGTATGAATCTTGTAGAAGAAGCAGTGAGGCATTTCATAAGTCAGTTATAGATAAGATATTGAAGAATAATACTATATTATTCATGAATAAACAGAAAGATGAAATGCTTGAATGAAATCTTAAGTTATTATTATTATTATTATTATTATTCTTCAATTATAGATGTATACAGTCAGAGACTATGACATCTACCTGAGAACCTTTAGTTCTCAGGGTTTTTCCTATATCTGTAAAGTTAACTATTATACATTCATCAATTTCAGATATGCAAAATCAGAAAATTCCAGCTCAGAATACAAAAACTGTTTACAAATTGCAGTGTTTTAACATCATCTCATACTTTGAAATCATTTGATAATATCATGACAAAGGAAAAGAGAACACAGTTTTAAAGATAGACATATTAAATAGATAGACAGAAAGAAATTGAAAGGAAAAGATAAAATAAAGAAAGACTGTAACAAAACAAATTATTAAAAGATAGTATATAGCTGTTTTAACAGACTATATCTGATTGATTTTCTCCTCTTCATATTCAGATAATTCTGAATTTAGTCATTTTCTTGTAGCTGCTTGAGTTTCTGATAGAAAGTCTATTAAGTATTTAATTCCTCTCTCAGTTGAGAATAAGAATCTTATATTTAATTGATTTAGATTATACTTCTTTTACAATCTGACTCTGAGACTATTGTATAATGCACAGTGTATTACAATATGCTCAGAATTCTCATTTGTATTGCAGAATGAGCATTTTATGAGTCAAATCTATCATCAAATCTTTGTATATAAGATTTGAAATAGCCATGTTCTAGTTTCAGCTGTATTATAGAT